CCTCACCTCTCTGTGACGGGAGACCCCTCGGGCTTCCGGGAGATGATATACCGGCAGCTCAGCCCGGCGTCCTTCACCATCTGGTCACCCAGGAACTCGGCCAGGCGCTTGGCCGTGCTGATGGACGTCGACTTTTGCTCCCCGTAATCTTCCAGCCTCCGAGACATGGAGCGGTTCTCAGAGATCAACTCGAACAGCTCAGAATCAGGCATGTTAGCTGCCTGGAGAAAGGATGGGCCAAGCAACATGAGAGGTCGTGTCAACCAGCTGACTGGGACTGTCCTGCCACGAGCCACGCATCTCCCCAGTGGAGGAGCTGAAGGCGGCAGTAAAATTCCAAGGGCTGCCTCACACCAGGGGACAGAAGACTCAAAGCTGTCACCTGTGCGCACACATGCCTGACCGCTCGCCCCCAGCTTCCCGGAAGATCTGCTCAGCTTACGAGGACTGCGTGATTTCCCTGTGTTCACTCTCGTGGGTGGGTCAACGCTACACAGAACAAGACATGCCAAGAACCAAAAGCCCACAGAGCAAAGGAAGCCAATGTTCCAGAACATTCCAGTATTCTTTTCACCCAGAAAGCCTCTTCCTAGCAAACAATGCAGGCAAGGAAAAGGCTTCTGTACAGATGCCTCATGCGACGTTATTTATCTCAATGGAGGCCTGAAGCACATGTGACTGAACCCAACCATAGAGGATGGTTCTGTAACTCAATCCACACAACCTAGATGAGGTAGAGACTACAGATCGACACGGAAATCATGACAAAGTCCATGAGAGAAGCCAACACCACCATCCGAACTACAGAAATTGTGTGTGCACATTTACGGGTCTGACACAGATTTAAAAAGTCAAACAAGTTTCTGTGATCGCTGGCAAATCTTCCTCTTGCGATCCCTTTTACTACCATGCCACCTGTTTCCTTCAGAGCCCTGTCACTGGATACAGAAGTGAAGGGAAACTCTGGGAGGCACTGGGACTAAGCATGTCTTGTGATTACATGAGACTCAGCCCGGGGTTATCTGTCACCTCCTTTCCAGGTGCCCAGGGGCCTGAGAGCCAGGTGAGGAGGGCGACCGTACCTTGCTGTACAGCACGTCCAGCCAGTAGTCGGCCACCTTTGCAACAGAGTTGTACACTTCCTCTAGGGTGCTGCCTTTAAGGAAGGCCTCGAACACGGAGGACTGGAAGATCTTAATCAGTTGCAGCTCCCCCCGGCGCTTGACCTCAAAGCCCTTTAGCTCAGCCAGTGAACCATCCTCATTGAACACGGCATATCTGGAAACACAGGCGAGCACGGCCGTGAAGGAGCCTGAGAC